CAACTGCCTTTTCCTAACGATTGGAGTGCCCTCCCCCGGAGAGGTAACCTCAGTGCGAGAGGATACTCCCGCATCATCTGAAAGGAGGGTCCCAACTATGGGAAGCTTTCCCTCTGCTCCAGTTGGATGTTCTCCTTCTCTGAGCCTTTCACCCTCCTCAACAGCACAGGGGCTGTCTGACTGGAGATGAAACCATTCTATTGTGTCCTGGAAAGTCTCATCTGTGTACCTCCTCTCTCTCTCCCTTAGCTTCTCCATTACAGTCATCCTGGTCTCCAAAGCCTGAACACAGTATTTGAGGGTCAGGAGCTTCTTGCACTGAAAGCTTTCACAGGGACCTCTCAGGGAAGAAATCAGAAGGGAACACCATCTACCGGAAGGCATGGGATGCGTAGTCCTAGGGATGGGGGTTCCACAACCACCACGCCCAAAAGAAGATGACGGGTGGTGGTGGTTGGGGACTCCCTCCTAAGAGGGACTGAGTCATCCATCTGCCACCCAGACCTGGAATCTTGAGAGGTGTGCTGCTTACCGGGAGCTCGCATTCAGGATGTGACCAAGAGTCTTCTGAAACTGATCAAACCTTCGGATCACTACCCCTTCCTGCTTCTCCATGTGGGAACTAACGATACAACCAAGAATAACCTTGAGCAGGTCACAGCAGATTATGTAGTGCTGGGAAGAAGGATTAAGGAATTTGAAGCGCAAGTGGTGTTCTCATCCATCCTTCCGGTTGAAGGAAAAGGTCCGGGTAGGGATCGTCGAATTGAGGAAGTAAATGCGTGGTTGCGCAGGTGGTGTCGGAGAGAGGGCTTTGGTTTCTTCAACCATGGGACTCTGTTCCGGGCACAAGGATTGTTAGGAAGAGATGGGATCTACCTAACCAAGAGAGGAAAGCGCATCTTTGCGGACAGGCTTGCAAACCTAGTGAGGAGAGCTTTAAACTAGGTTTGTTGGGGGAACAGTGACCAAAGCCCTGAGAATCACAAGGAGGAACGGGTAACAAAGGAGGACCCCTGATTCGGATGGAAAAGGTAGGGCGATCAACTGGTTAGCTAAGGTGTTTGTACACAAATGCAAGAAGCCTGAGAAACAAACAGGAAGAATTAGAAGCTCTGACCCAGTCGAAGAACTATGATTTGATTGGAATAGCGGAGACTTGGTGGGATGTCTCGCATGACTGGAGCACTGTCATGGAAGGGTATAAACTGTTCAGGAAGAACAGGCAGGGGAGAAAAGGAGGAGGAGTTGCATTGTATGTAAAAGAGCAGTATGATTGCTCGGAGCTCCAGTATATAGAGGGAGAAAAGCCTGTGGAGAGTCTATGGGTTAAGTTTAGAGGTGGAAGCAACAGGGGTGATGTTGTGGTTGGTGTCTGCTATAGACCGCCGGATCAGGTGGATGAGGTAGACGAGGCTTTCTTCGGACAACTGAGAGAACCTTGGGAGACCAATACAGCAGTACACGGACAATCCAGGAAGTTTTTGGAGAATGTTTGGGATAACTTCTTGGTACAAGTGCTGAAGGAACCAACCAGGGGCCATGCAAAGCTTGAACTGCTGCTCATATACAGGGAGGAACTAGTAGGGGAAGTAGAGGTGGGTGACAACCTGAGAAGCAAAGGAAGAAAGAGTAGCAAAATACACACCCTGGACTTCAGAAAAGCGGACATTGACACCCTCAGAACTGATGGGATTCTTCCATGAGGGGGAAAAGGAGCCTAGGAGAGCTGGCAGTATTTTAAAGAAGTCTTATTAAAGGCACAGGAAGAAACCATCCCGATGCACAGGAAGAAAAGCAAATATGGTAGGCGATCAGATTGGCTTACCATGGAAATCCTCGGCTTCGGCCCTTAGGCATAGCATCCTGGAGCGTGGGGATGATGAGGGGGCGGGGCCATGCACCACGATGACCCTTGGCGGGCCATTTGAAAAGGCCCTGGGGAGGAAACAACGGGGCAGCTCACACGGGAAAAGTTGCTGGGCAGCCTAGGGGGAACACCTTACCCTACCCAGGTGGAGCAGCCGGCAGAGCCCCTGGGGGGACTGGAGCAGCGAGGCAGGAACTGGAGGAGACAACGGAGCTCTGCGGGCCCATCTGGAGAAGCCGCCATACAGGAGGTGGATAGGAAGCAGCCCAGGGCAGAGCACTTTTGGTGCCTGTGGGCTGACGCACTTCGGGGAGGAACCTCGTCAGCTGGGTAAGGGTTGTGCTCCCTGATCCCTTAGGGCCCTGGGCTGGGACCCAGTGGACAGGGCAGGCCTGGGTCTCCTTAATCCCCCACCCTATGCCCCGTGATAGTCTCGCCCAGTGTACTAACACATACAAAGTGGCAACCGACTCAGTGGTTGGCCACTGGGTTAGTCTGGACCCCAGGGAACGGGCCAACCTTTAGGTGCTCAAGGACCCCATAAGACCCCAAAATACGTAGGATGGTGGGCTCGCTGTGCCCGCTCCGCTTCCCGCGGGCGTGGGGTGGGAGCTCGCACCCATAAATCCACCACAACGCAGGGTTTGAAGGCGGGGGGCTCGCAGG